CTGTGTATAAGCTCTCTGTTTCCACAGCCGTGTTTTACACATGCTGCAAACATCTGAGCTTTCTCCAGTCCTCCTCATTCTCAGCTGCCCAAATTTATTCTGTCAGATCAGCCTCTTCTCCACACACTACCTCTCTCTCTCCCTGCTTTCAGGTCTCCTCCATCCCCAGGAGCACACTAGCTCCACCAATGGCCAGGTGATGGTGGCTGGATCACTAGGATCCATACCTTTTTATATCACAGACAGGGGCAGCTTAGGTTTTCCTTTTCCCCACTCTTGCCCTGCCACAGGCCCTAATAGGACAGTCTCTTCCCCTTGGCTGTGGGTGAGGGCATGTCTTTTCCATGGGGACTGAAAAATGTTTTTGGTGCCTTGGCCGTGTAGCTACTGGGACTATGACCAGGGGCTGGATCACTAGGATCCATACCTTTTTATATCACAGACAGGGGCAGCTTAGGTTTTCCTTTTCCCCACTCTTGCCCTGCCACAGGCCCTAATAGGACAGTCTCTTCCCCTTGGCTGTGGGTGAGGGCATGTCTTTTCCATGGGGACTGAAAAATGTTTTTGGTGCCTTGGCCGTGTAGCTACTGGGACTATGACCAGGAACATATTTACTGAAAAATGTTTTTGGTGCCTTGGCCACGTACCTACTGGGATTATGACCAGTAACATACCTGTTTTCTTCAGAAGGATTGAGCTGCGTATGAATTGGTCCCACCAAGCGTCCTGTTTGCATTTCCCTTGGGAAGGTCTGTATACCTCTATTGCTCCCCAGGATTTATCCTGATTTTTGTTTCTCCCAGGGCTGCTGGCACACACTGGGGAGGGGGGGTATGTCCTGCTCTGTAATGGAGATGTAAGCACCTCTCAGGTTTAAGCCATAACTTTCTACTTGAATAGATGATAAGAACACAGTTTTTGTAAATTCTAAGTGCTGTTTTAAATACATTTTAACTATCCTATCCTGTTTCATTCTTATTTTGGCATACTGGGAAAGAAAACAGTAGTCTTCACCTGATTCAGACTATAGACATTTTCTCATACATGAGACTTTTGTTAAATAAAGGTATCACAAGTGAATTGTGACAGACAAGCATTAGGCTTCAGAGAAGCACTCAAACCTTTAAAAGTTGAAAATTTTGGCATATTTTGGAGGCTAGAAATGCAAAAGGGCAGCATCCTCCTTTGGAAAAGGGCTAAAGGGCTGATGGATTGTTGTAGAGCAGCTCCAGATCTGTGAAGCATGGGGAGAGGAAGGTGTTAAATCCCCTCTTCATGTGCCCTGCATGCACAGCTGCTTCCTTATTTTTTGTGGGTATTTCTCATATGGAGGTATGTGAGCAGCAAGTATAGGAGGTGAGGAGTGTGTGGGTTGAGTATGGTGTGCACCATGAGTTCATTAGCCTGTCCCTTGGCATTCAAATGAGGGACTTGGCTGTGGTCCCCCAACCACTGCTTTTAATATGCATTAGGAAAAGCCACCTCAATGCACTTTAATCTGTCTATCTGCTGCTTGGCCGTTACGCAGTGGTAACTCGCTGTACTCACCTTCCTCATCCTCAGCAGCCTTGCCCAGGCACAGCCTGGCCAATTAGGCCTGTGATCTCCTTTAACACCACCTCTCTGTCCCATCTCAGCTACTATTTTTGTTGCTTCACAGCTAGCAGGGTCTGGCAGCCTTGTTAAGCTCATGGCTGGTAGCCTGATTCCTACACACAATCTTTCATCCAGCACTTCCTACATCCAGTGATTCAGCTCAAAACTGTCTGGAAGATCCAGCTCTTGTTGTGGAGGACAAGCAGTGTAGACTCTCTGGGCTCCAGTTTTTTTTACCCCAAAAGAAAGATTTCAATTAATTTCCAGTCCAGGCATACTGAGAGTTTGCTCCCCATTGCTTCATAGTCCTAGCAGGAGTTCTGCTCTGCAGGAAGTCTTGTCCACAGTAAGAACCTGGGAGCCCTGAACTCACCCTTCCCCCTGGAGATGCCACCACAACCACACAGTGCACAACAGCCTCCCACAAGCCACTTGATGCTTTTTAATTAGCGTATTTCACTTGGACATATGTTTTTCATCTTACATCGCTTGGTGTGGATACAAAGAGGCCAGCAGATGCAAATACATATGACACACAGGCACACGCAGACAGAGTCCCATCATCCCCCAAAATGATGGGGTGCATGGGAGGCCAACAGAGCTGTGAGTGGAGGGATGAGGGTGGTGGTGGTGGAAAGATGATCCACGTCAACTCTGGAAAACACTGCTGTGCTGCACTGTCAGCTGAGTGTGCTGTGGGAGGCAGGGGTGGCTGGAGACCCACAAAAAGCAGTGATGGTGGTGGTGATGATGGGCACGTGTCAGGACAGGTGGGATCCCTGGGACAGCTGGATTATGGCAGCCAGGGAAGGGAGAGAAACATCTCAGATGGATGGTGAGAAGGCAGCTTGGCTCCCAATGTAGCCTTGGCTGGCTCCCATCACTGGAGTGCCTTGGGTAGAGGATGGTGGAGAAAGAGTATCTCCTAGCAGCCCTGTCTGACTGGTGGATGTCTCCATGCAGCATTTCAATCACTGTGAAGAAGGAACCAAGATCCTAAGTCATTGCTACATCCCAGTCAGATATTACAGTCCTTGAGGTCTGGTAGGCAGTGCTGCCAATTCTTGCCTGGCACGCCATGGTGTCAGGACAGCTGAGCCCAGTTGAGCTTAACAGAACAACATGTGACACCCCACAATATGGACTTGTATGAACGTGGTCAAACAGCCCAAGAAAGGTCTCCCACATCTACTGAGATCCATTCAGTGTTAGTGATACCAGCACCAGATCTTGGTGGACAATTGTCACCTCTCCTGATACCCCACACCCAGCCATGTGCTCCTTCGAAGCCTGGATTTTTGGAAAGGCACCTCCGGGCTTCTTCCCCTCCATCCTTCCAGACACGACATGGCTTCAGCCTCCTCTCTGCCAGCAGGTCCCATCTCTGCTCCAAAGCAGGCTGGTCCACACTGCATGGTGTTGGGTGGAAGGTGAGACAAACAGCCAGCAGATAGTACAGCCAATCAAGAATGTAGAAAGGCCCAGTGAAATCAAGGGTCTGCCCTTGCTGTGAGTGGTTCAGGTCCAACTGGGTCTCATGAAGAGCTGTTTTATACAGCAACACACACAAAAGCACAATAAATCATCAGCTGTTAAAACCCAATGGCCAAGTCCATGTCTGAATTACAGCCCAACATAGTCTTTGGCTGCAGACTCCCAAGCATGGGATCTTTAAAACCCCAACATCCATATTGAAGCTTGCAGTAAAGGTCCTCCCATGGTTAATTTGTCTGGGCACAGAGGGCAAAAAAAGACAATTCATCTTCCAAGCTTCACTTCCAGGTGAGCTCTTAAGCTGAGAAAAATGTGACTTACTCAGCCTCTGGCAGTCATGGCTCTGGGGGAATCCCTGGGTGAGGGATTGTTCTGCAGGTCACCCTCAGCCCCGAGTCAGCGTCCAGATATCGTCACGAAATGCAGGATTATTATTTTTCCTTTTTAATATTTTAAAAAATAAATAGAAGAAACAAAAATTTAAAATTTGTTCTTTAAATATTTCCAGCATTGCACGGACAGCACTTTAGTACTCTAGCCTGTTCGATCAGTAGTTTGTTTATTCTGATTCCTAGTTAAAATGTGCTTGTCCCAGCCTGATTTTTCTTTCTGTCCTTCTCAAGAACACAACATATTCTTTCATAATGACAAAAACCCAAGCCCTGCGGTGTTCATTGGACATCTTTCAAGCATGTTATTTCTCTTCAAACCTGAAATTCCCATAACCTCACCAAATAGCTGTTAGCATCCTGATAGCTCTCATATTTAAGGAAAAAAAACCCAAACAAAAACAAAGCAAGCCACACGCACACGCACACACACACACAAATCGTCTTCCAAGAGCCTTTATGATGCCAAACATTAGGTTCAGGCAAACCTCCTGCTGGAGTGTCTTTGATCAGTCACTGTCTGAGAGCAGTGGTGTCCCCTGGAAGTCTTTGAGGTGTAAGATGGAGTCGGGACGCAGGGCAAGGAAGGAAAACGGGAGGTCAGAGATAGTCATCTTCACTGGAAGGGGAGGTGGGATTGGAGCCCTCAAGGTCAGAGTCCAGAGAACTCCCTGATGGTGTTCGGCTCATCTTCCACATCTGAGAGGCAAAGTTTCTCCCCCAGCTGCATGGGTATCCCACAGCCCTCAGCTGCTGAATTAACCCCATGACCACCTGCCAGTGGCTTCTTGCAGTTCACTTGCTACCCTTTGCACTCCTCTGTTTGCTCATGGCTGTTAGCATCTGGCTGATGTACGAGGTCAAAAGATCATCCATCTTGTAGCCCTGAGAGAAGAAAGAATATGTTACTAGCCTTCAGAGCACAGTTTACAACCCCTTGCTGGTGCCTTCTCAACACACTGGCTACTGGCTGTTGACTTTCAAGTTTTCAGGTACATTTTGATCTGAAATGTCACCGTCACAAGGAACACTGTCCAAACATGATTTGCAGCATTGAGATGGAGAAACGTACCCTCCCAGGATGATGCTGAGGCTAGGGACATAGGAACCTCTGGATGGGACATGGATTTTCAAATGGTCAACAACATACTGAATGCCTCAGATTAATGACAAGTAATCCAGTAGGAATTTTTATGCTTCGTGCTTTGAGTTTAAGATAGTCTAGGAGGAGGTTTATTGCTGTGACTGTTACTAGGGTCAAGCTGGGCAAAGGATCTTGGTAAAAGGGCTCAAGAGTACCCTCTGACCCTACATCAGCTTTAGTGTGTTTTTCAGTCCAATGACAGGGAGCAGACCCCCATGCTCCCGACATGGCAATGTCCCGAGCACCTCTGACTTGCTTGTACGTTGGATGATGGGCCAAGTGAGAGCCCTGATTCTTTGAGCAGAGCTATGGGAAATCCAGAAGAAAAAAAACACATCAGGGGCTCTTCTGAGAGAAAACTTTAAGCCCAGAGAATCCCTGAGACACAATTTGCTGCCAAAGTCAGGATTTGGTCTAAATGTGCCCAATAATCTTGAATGCTCCTTACCAGAGAGGTCTCACAGAGCAGCTTGCTTCCTCTCACCAGGTTGCCAATAGTTATATGGAAGTATGTATTGCCACTGCTCCAGTTGGAGATCTTGGTGAAGGGGTGCGTGATGAGAATATCCTGGTGGGAATGCAAGAAGGATACTCAACATGCAAAAGCCTCAACTTTCATGTAGGGCTGTGGGGACATCTCATATCCCTGTTCACTTTCCATCAAAGCAGACTAAGGATGTCTACCGTGATGAGACTCATGGGAATGGCAGTGAGATACAAGACTCCAGATCCTCCAGTGCTTGTGGAAGACTGCCATACTAGAATGGCCACACATGTAGTTAAAGTAACTAGTAGGATCTCATTTACTCCAACTCCTGTCCTAATGTCTGTGAAAGGATTAAGGCAGGAGTGTGTATATCCTCCAGTTACAGGGCTCTAACTATTGATGCTCCTAACCCATCTTCTCTCAAAAAGGGTTGGGTTGGCTCTGTGCAACAGTGAATCTCTGCCTCCAGAAATTTTTCTGTCTATCCAGCCTTTCTAACTAAGCTTATTGAGAACTCATTAAGTTCTGAACAACGTGCTCTTTGGGATGACTTCTGTGAGGGGTTGCGGAGCAGGTTTGAGAACATCTGGTTAAGACCTCAGTTTTGCTTACCTTGGTTTTGGGATCAATGAGGCTGACTCCATGTTTATTGATGGCAATTAGAAGGATTTCTGGATAATTTGGCTCTGTAGTTTGCTGTTAGAAATTAGATGAACCAGTTAGGGGATGGAACAAGCATAACCAGACCCCTTCCTATTTCCTCTCCCCTTGTCTTCTCCTGACAGCACTTGGTGGCCCATTAACTGCTATCCAGTTTATCCTTTAAGAATAAACATAGAGCTCATTAAAGTATCAGCAATAGTCAGGACTGACTAGTTAAGTACAGATTTCCTAAATGCACCGTAACCAGTTGCTGAGCTCCTGACAGCATGAAGTTCCTTGTTCCCTTTGGTGGCCTCCCAAAAGTCAAGCAATCTTGTCACTGGCACAGAAGAGCTGGGACAGGCTAGGAAACTCCAGACATCTCCTCTCCTTTACCAGAATGTTTGTGACTGTGCTCCTTCTCATGCCTGCTTGGACCTCCAGGCCAAGACTACACTGCTCTGTCCCCTTCTGATCTTTACATTCAGTTTTGTTTAGTTTGGTCATTGAGAAGAGGGAGTTGCAATAAGGTCTTCAGAGTACTTGGACAGACTTCATGACTACTGGCCTCTACTGTCTAGTGCTATGGTGGGTGGTCTGGATTTTGTTTGTGGTGGGTGCAGACATATCCCTTGGAAAACCACACATTCCCCTTTGCCCTAGCAAAACAGAGAACAGCTCTTGACTCTTCAGAGCACAGCTACAAGTACAGACTCAATGACTGAGATATGCTGAAGCTGTACAATGCCTTTGTCTGTGTAAAGAGGCAGGACAGCAGTAAGTGTATATTTGCCCTTTACTGATGAAGAGTCTCACACTGTTTCCCTGTTTCATCAGGGTTGTCCCAGTCTGGTACAGACACTGGGACAACCCAGCATCCCTGGAACCCCTCTGTGGTAGGGGTTCCTGACCTTGTCTAAAAGCTGGCAGAGAACACCCAAGCAGAGGAGGTACCTTCACTTCAAAGAATGCTGATCCAAATGTAGGCCACTTGAAGATAATCTTTAGAAAGGCAAGCTTGGCTTCTTCTCTTGTTTTGCCTGCGTGCTTATTGTAGTATGCCACAATGGACTGCAACAGAGAACACAACAAAGATGGAGGGTTTGCACTACCTAGCACGAGGGATATTTGCAGGGGAGGAACATTAGGCCCACAATGATAGAATCATAGAATAGTTTGTGTTGGAAGGGACCTTTTAAAGGTCATCTAGTCGAACTCCCCTGCAATGAGCAGGGCCACCTTCCACTAGACCAGGTTTCTCCAAAACCCATTCAACCTGACCTTGATATTTGGTTCTAGTGTCTGTTATAACAAACACTTAAAAAGTGCTGACTGGTCACTGGACCAGGGCCTGGATCCAAGGCAGGTCCTTCCTAGAGGAGCTGAACTGGTGACTCCATTAAAGGGATTAAAAATGTTGAACCTCCAATTTATACATCAGAGAAGACTACTGAGAGAACTTCAACTGAGAGATGCTGATAGCAGATAGGAAACAGATAGGACATATAAGACTATTTCTTGGCAGTGAGACACGATATTTTAAGGCTAGACTTGTCCGCACCTGTGCCACAGCTCTCCCTGTGTGAAGCAGGAAGAATTAACCCTCTACTCAGCAGTCTGCATTAAGTCACAGACCTTTACATGAGACCATCTCTCAGCATGTGTCCATATGGCAACACATCCACCGCTACAACCACAGTCGCAGGACGAAGAAAACCCACGGCAAGGCATGCATGTACAATTTCTCCTCTTGGTAATGCTAGGAAGGCTGCACCTCTGCTAAGGCTCAAGAGGGACCATGGGTCACTCATTCTGGCAGCCCAACTTCAACAGTGGATATCAGACAGGTCACCCAAAAGACTGGGCTTCTCCCAGCCAGGCCTAGCACATGAATCAATCTGCTGGTTTACCCTTTTCCAGTCATCTGGAGAGATCTGCCGGATGAGGTCCTGAGGCACCAGCTCCTTCAGGAGCTTGGGGATACTGGGGAAATAGGATTTGTCATCCTCAAACTTCACCCGGTAGATGAGAGCTGCCAGCTGCAGGACCTCTTCCCGTGAGCACTTGTGGTAGCCACGCAGGTACTTTGGTAACTCCTGCATGAAGGAAAGAGTAATGGAAAGACAGAGGTGATGGCCATGGACCTTCACCCTCAGATATTAAATGGAGTTTGTGGAGGTATCCAGCCCCTGGTTAAGAGGCTATGCCCTGGGAACATCTGCAGATGGACAAAGTCTTTGCAACCCACTCCTAAATCCCTCCCAGGTCTCCACTGCTATTGCAGAGTCCAGGTGTACCTGGTAGTAGTGGAAGATTGAGTCTGCCATTGAGTCTTTTCCAGGCATTGTGTTGGTCCACAGTTTTTTCATGAAGAACACTTGGTAGGTGAGAGAAGGCACTATACCTGTGCAAGGGAAGCAGGCATGTAAGAACAATGGTGTGAGTACCAGCTGGCAGTCGATGTCTGCAAGCCAGTGGTGCCCATGTGCCATCACAACCTGCAGTGATGAGCACTCACAGAGCCAAATGGGCTCTGACCTTGCAGAGCAGACCA